GTCACCCGCGGGGAGAGCCGTTCCCCAGTCACCCCCGGGGAGAGCCGTTCCCCAGGCACCCCCGGGGAGAGCCGTTCCCCAGGCACCCCCGGGGAGAGCCGTTCCCCAGGCACCCCCGGGGAGAGCCGTTCCCCAGGCACCCCCGGGAGAGCCGTTCCCCAGGCACCCCCGGGAGAGCCGTTCCCCAGGCACCCCCGGGAGAGCCGTTCCCCAGGCAGGGGTTAATGCTAAAGCCGATGCCAAGCCAGCAATGTGTGCATGCTGTGATTATTGACTGCCGGGTGTGGTTATGTAAGCATGGGCGTGCTACTCTGCTTTGTCACACGCACACAGCACAAAGATATACAGTACACACACACAGGGTGCAGATTCACAGGACACACAGCACGAAGATACATAGACACACAGCACTGGACACGCACACACGCACGTGTGCATGCCAAGCCACTCCATTGCAGTTTGCGGGGTCGTGGGGGGGGGTGACTTTCACCACAATTTCATCGCGCTGGTCAGCGTGGCAGAGTGAAGACAGGGAGCATAGACGCAGGAGCTTAGTACGGTACAACGACGGACCTTGCTGCACGGCGCACGAGCAACCCCCCGCCGTGGCCGATGACACCTGTTGGCCGCACGGCGCTACAGACTCGCAGACACAGCGGCCTGGAAGCTCCCACACACCCGGCGTGGGACCGTAGCGAGCTCCGCAGACTTGCCCCGCTCAGCCTGCACGGGGAACTGCACGCGCCACTCCAACCACACTCCACGTGGCAGTGGGGTCGCGCTGCCAACTCCCGACCGCCTTTGTCTCCCCGACGCCGAGACGAGTCGCAAGTGGTTTTTATTTTAACGAAGTTGCCACACGAGTGAGTACTTGTTGCGGCTGCAGAGGAACCGGTTGACGCAGTGTGCGTGTGTGGTCATGCAAACGTTGACGCGACGCGCACGGACAAAGAATGCCCAGATACAAAGATCCCCCGTGTAGCCTTAATGGACTGTTGGGGCAAGTGCTGTTAGCGAACACCTATGAAGGCCGGCACGGCACACGAGGGGGTGGGTGGCCAGCACCACGCCTTTGTCTCCCTCGTGACGATGTTTAGACACCGCACCATCTACTAGTTTGAGGCTGAGTCGATCTAGGGGAGGAACGACACACACAATCACACACACCACGACACACACACAAAGACCTCACGACACACAATCACACACACCAAGGCATGTATACAGCACACGCCTCGAACACACACACAACGCGTATACATATCCCCCGTATAGCCTTAAACAGATTGTTGGGGCCAGTGTTGTTAGAGAGCACCTATGCACACACATACACTTAACCGCTGGCATGCATCACTGTGCGTGGTGGTGGTGCTTGTGCCAGGCTAGTTGCATATTGAGCACACACACAACACAATCAGACCAATTGTACCATTTCACACACAGCCCCAGCACAGCGGGATTCCCACGAGCACACACACACACCGCCAAGACAAAGAGCCTCAACTTAGACGCCCTCAGTGGAACTACCTACTACAGAGACGGTCTGTGGGCGAAGCTCTGGGCCAGCTCGTGTGGAAGCCGGCACCGACAAACTGGTGCCCGGAGCCTGCACAGATCCCCCCGTATCACCTGCACAGGCTGTCGGTTCTGAGTGCGGTTAGCGAGCTCCTGTTTTAAGGCCGCGACGGAAAACCACGGGGGCGCGCGCTGTGGTCAGCACCACGCCCGGCCGCCTTTGTCTCTCCGGTGCTCATGTTTACACACCGCACCGGGTACGGTACTCATTTGAGGGCTGAGTCAACCTAGGGGGAGGGCCCCGGAGCGGTTTCCGATAATCATTGCTGGTGTTGGCCGTGAGCAGGAATCGAACTGGGGGTCGCTACTGCACTCGCCCAACGTGAGAGAGGGAGGGTGGAGTGGAGTGGTCGGAAGGAGGCATTGAGGCGAGAGGCCAGGAATCCCTCAGGGGATAGAGATCCAACCTCAAGAGACCCACAGAGATCCAACCTCAAGAGGCCCACAGAGATCCAACCTCAAGAGACCCACAGAGATCCAACCTCAAGAGACCCACAGAGATCCAACCCCCAAGAGACCCACAGAGATCCAACCTCAAGAGACCCACAGAGATCCACCCTCAAGAGACCCACAGAGATCCAACCTCAAGAGACCCACAGAGATCCATCCTCAAGAGACCAACAGAGATCCAACCTCAAGAGACCCACAGAGATCCAACCTCAAGAGACCCACAGAGATCCAACCTCAAGAGACCCACAGAGATCCACCCTCAAGAGACCCACAGAGATTCAACCTCAAGAGACCCTCAAGAGGCCCACAGAGATCCAACCTCAAGAGACCCACAGAGATCCAACCTCAAGAGACCCACAGAGATCCATCCTCAAGAGACCCACAGAGATCCAACCTCAAGAGACCCACAGAGATCCATCCTCAAGAGACCCACAGAGATCCAACCCCCAAGAGACCCACAGAGATCCATCCCCAAGAGACCCACAGAGATCCAACCCCCAAGAGACCCACAGAGATCCAACCTCAAGAGACCCACAGAGATCCATCCCCAAGAGACCCACAGAGATCCAACCCCCAAGAGACCCACAGAGATCCATCCCCAAGAGACCCACAGAGATCCAACCCCCAAGAGACCCACAGAGATCCAACCTCAAGAGACCCACAGAGATCCATCCCCAAGAGACCCACAGAGATCCAACCCCCAAGAGACCCACAGAGATCCATCCCCAAGAGACCCACAGAGCTCCAACCCCCAAGAGACCCACAGAGATCCAACTCCCAAGAGACCCACAGAGATCCATCCCCAAGAGACCCACAGAGATCCAACCCCCAAGAGACCCGGGCGAACCGGGCAACTCCTACACGCGGTGGCGGCGATGGCACACCTATTTCAATGCCAGCTTCCGTGACGTAAGCACACAGCTTACGTGACACACTCACAGTGCACGTGACACACTCACAGTGCACGTGACACACTCACAGTGCACGTGACACACACACAGTGCACGTGACACACACACACAGTGCACGTGACAACTCCTATCACACAGGTGGCCTGGCACACGGAGCGCGTGGCAGGGTCCCCATCGTGCCTGTGCGCGCCCTCCCGACCCCCTCTCGTGTTTCTCATCCCCGTCACTCCTGCTGTGGGGACACAGTGGCTCGTTTGTTTCTCTGTGTCCCCGTGTGTCCCCGTGTGTCCCCGTGTCTTTGTGTACCTGTGTCTTTGTGTATCTGTGTCTTTGTGTATCTGTGTCTTAGTCTCCCTGTCCCCGTGTCTCTGGGTCTCCCCGTGTCTCTGGGTCTCCCCGTGTCGCTGTGTCTCCCCGTATCTCTGGGTCTCCCGTGTCGCTGTGTCTCCCCGTGTCTCTGGGTCTCCCCGTGTCGCTGTGTCTCCCCGTGTCTCTGGGTCTCCCCGTGTCTCTGGGTCTCCCCGTGTCTCTGGATCTCCCCGTGTCTCTGGGTCTCCCCGTGTCGCTGTGTCTCCCCGTGTCTCTGGGTCTCCCCGTGTCGCTGTGTCTCCCCGTGTCTCTGGGTCTCCCCGTGTCTCTGTGTCACCCCGTGTCTCTGGGTCTCCCCGTGTCCTCTGGGTCTCCCCGTGTCTCTGGGTCTCCCCGTGTCTCTGGATCTCCCCGTGTCTCTGTGTCTCCCCGTGTCGCTGTGTCTCCCCGTGTCGCTGTGTCTCCCCGTGTCGCTGTGTCTCCCCGTATCTCTGGGTCTCCCCGTGTCTCTGGGTCTCCCCGTGTCGCCGTGTCTCCCCGTGTCTCTGGGTCTCCCGTGTCGCTGTGTCTCCCCGTGTCTCTGGGTCTCCCCGTGTCTCTGGATCTCTCCGTGTCTCTGTGTCTCCCCGTGTCGCTGTGTCTCCCCGTGTCTCTGGGTCTCCCCGTGTCGCTGTGTCTCCCCGTGTCTCTGGGTCTCCCCGTGTCTCTGGGTCTCCCGTGTCGCTGTGTCTCCCCGTGTCGCTGTGTCTCCCCGTGTCTCTGGGTCTCCCCGTGTCTCTGGGTCTCCCCGTGTCTCTGGGTCTCCCCGTGTCTCTGGATCTCTCCGTGTCTCTGTGTCTCCCCGTGTCGCTGTGTCTCCCCGTGTCTCTGGGTCTCCCCGTGTCGCTGTGTCTCCCCGTGTCTCTGGGTCTCCCCGTGTCTCTGGGTCTCCCCGTGTCTCTGGGTCTCCCCGTGTCTCTGGGTCTCCCCGTGTCGCTGTGTCTCCCCGTGTCGCTGTCTCCCCGTGTCTCTGGGTCTTCCCGTGTCGCTGTGTCTCCCCGTGTCTCTGGGTCTCCCCGTGTCTCCCCGTGTCTCTGTGTCTCCCCGTGTCGCTGTGTCTCCCCGTGTCTCTGGGTCTCCCCGTGTCGCTGTGTCTCCCCGTGTCTCTGGGTCTCCCCGTGTCTCTGGGTCTCCCCGTGTCGCTGTGTCTCCCCGTGTCTCTGGGTCTCCCCGTGTCGCTGTGTCTCCCCGTGTCTCTGGGTCTCCCCGTGTCTCTGGGTCTCCCCGTGTCTCTGGGTCTCCCCGTGTCTCTGGGTCTCCCCGTGTCGCTGTGTCTCCCCGTGTCGCTGTCTCCCCGTGTCTCTGGGTCTTCCCGTGTCGCTGTGTCTCCCCGTGTCTCTGGGTCTCCCCGTGTCTCCCCGTGTCTCTGTGTCTCCCCGTGTCGCTGTGTCTCCCCGTGTCTCTGGGTCTCCCAGTGTCTCTGTGTCTCCCCGTGTCTCTGGGTCTCCCCGTGTCTCTGTGTCTCCCCGTGTCGCTGTGTCTCCCCGTGTCTCTGTGTCTCCCCGTGTCTCTGTGTCTCCCCGTGTCTCTGGGTCTCCCCGTGTCTCTGTGTCTCCCCGTGTCGCTGTGTCTCCCCGTGTCTCTGTGTCTCCCCGTGTCTCTGTGTCTCCCCGTGTCTCTGTGTCTCCCCGTGTCGCTGTGTCTCCCCGTGTCTCTGTGTCTCCCCGTGTCTCTGGGTCTCCCCGTGTCTCTGTGTCTCCCCGTGTCCGTGCTCACCTGGGCTGTGTTCGTGGTCTCCTCGCCTCGACGGAGCCGTCCGCTCTGTAACTCGAGGGAGGCGTTCCGCTCCCACACAGCACCGGGAGCAGCAAGAAACGGCAGCGGCGGCAGCTGCACTTGGGGGTTCAGCAGGAAACGCCTCGCCCCAGTGCCTGCTCTCACAGCTTCTGCCCAAACCTTCCCAGATGCCTGCAAGCTCCTGCGGTCCTCCGACTACTCTTCCTCTCAGCCTCCTCCTACTCGATGTCCCAATCTATTCCTCACTCTCGTCCTCACTATCCTACTTCACCCCGAACTCTACCCACTGCACCTCCTCACTCGAGCCCTCGACAACGCTCTCTCTCTCTCTCTCAACCCACTGCAGCCTACTTCACTCTCCTACGACTCTCCGCACTCTCGGCAGTGATTGATGCCTTGCCGTCTGCTCTGGACTTGCCTCGGACTCACAAAGACGCCGCCTCTCCCCGCCACCCACACCACGCGCACCAGCAGCCACGTCCGGCCACTCCCCCATCCGCCGCCTCGCTCCCCTCGGGCCTCTCCCTCCCCTCGCCCCCCCCTTCGCCCCCCCCCTCCGCCCCCCTCCCTCCCCTCGCCCCCCTCCCTCCCCCCTCCCTCCCCTCGCCCCCCTCCCTCCCCTCGCCCCCCCCCTCTCCCTCCCAGCCGCGGTGCACTGCAGTGCCGCCACCCCCGCCTCCGCGTTCACGACGGGGAGAAAAGTCTCCTGAAGCGTTCACACAGCGCAGCCAGCCAGATCACAGCGGGATTCAACGATACAGTACACAACAAGGTTTTATTTTAGTTGACCAGGTAAGGCCCACTGAGAGCTCTCTTTTTCAGAAGCCACCTGGCCACAGATTAACCAGATCACAGCGTGGTTTGGACTTTTTATTTAGATTTGCTACGCAGGATGATCCGTTTAACCAGTTGCCCCGCTACTTCACACGGAATATCCGTGGTGCCGTGAGCACAGCTACAACAACAAAAACGTCTATTGAAATATTGCACAAAATGGTAAGTCACACCACAATGCGGTTAGCCAGCTGACGAAAGTGGTTAGCTCACAACGCGGTTAGCCGGATCACAGCGTGGGTAGCCAGATGACGAAGTGGTTGGCCAGATCACAATGCGGTTAAGCAGCTCACAAAAGTGGTTAGATCACAATGCGGTTGGATCACAGGGTGGTCAACCATGACAGTGCAGCACTGCTTCTCTGTTTACCCAGCTGCTCCCGTTGATATTCCACCACGGCGCTACCGAGCTGTGATCTCGGGTTGCGCGCAGTGCGTGAGATGGCACGAGCGAGCAGTGATCAACTTCTGCTCTCTCTCTGGCATGATGGCAGGAGCAACATGTTCAGGAGTTAGATGCCAATGTACGCTGTTAGCCACGACGAGAGGGCTTTAGCAGAGAGTGCGTAGTTGTGCTGTGCATCCTCCGTTGAAGGAGCGCATACTACAATACGGTCAATAGTTTGGGTCGCATTGCCACAATCTCACGACTGTGGCTTGCCTCTTGAATTTTCCATTTTGAAAGATGTGCGCATCGACCTGTCGATTTTCTAATGCGGTTGATGGTTACACGAGCGGCGTGGGTGGGTGAGTGCGTGAATGTGGGAGTGGGTGAATGGAGTGAGTGAATAAAGGGGTGAGTGAATTGATGGTCACACCTGTGGCGAGTGGGTGGTTGAATGGGTGTGATGATTTGGAGAGCGAGATGGTTCCACCAGTGTCTTCGACGGGGAAGGTCAAAGACAGGAGGTGCGACGTTTGAGTCTACAATGGCGGAGTTTTATTCTGAACGCCCGCGTTCCACTTTCACCAGCGACCTTCTGGACCCGGGCGAGTCTTGGATGGCGACAGCAGCGCGACCCCAGAAGGGATGGGATCGGCACTTGAGTAGTCTGTGGTGAGGAACATTGTGGATATCTTGATTGATGGATAGGCGGTTGTCGTTGGCCAGAGAACACGTGTCAATTCCCGTGCAGATTGTGCGCCTGTGTGGATATTTGGTGGCTGGGTGGCACAATGTTCGCCAGAACAGTGGGGCCAGGGGGTTGGTATCGGTTCCGTTATTATTAAGCCTGGTTACCAGGAAAGCCTCACCGAGTCACGGGTCCTCTGTCGAGTTCATGCGGACGCGAGTAAATTTCAATGAATTTGCTGGGATTATTTCGTTATTGGAGAGGTTTTTGGGCACTGCCAGGTTGAACGAGCTTTTGTTTTAAGCTATGGGAGCAAACCGGAGAAAAACACGGGGGCCAACATGCACAATACACATTAAAAAAGGAACCAGTCGGGATTGGAACCCATGTGCTTCTTTCTGCAAGGCGCGATCGCTACCATGGCTTCTAAGCGCTAAAGGAGCACACCACGGGGAAGAGATCCACATCGCGAGATCCAACCTCAACGGCAAAGCTCACGGAGGGGGGGGGGGGCGCCACAGTGACGCGATGTTAACTTCCATGCCTGGTATACATGGGTTCGATCCCAACCCCGACGCCTGTGTATTTGGAGTTTGCAAGTTATCCCGTGGTCGAGCGGATTTTTCTACGGGTCCTCCGGGTTCCCCCCCCCCCCCTCCACGTTTCGGCACATGCATCGAGTATTTGGGTGCCATAAATGTCAACACGATAAACCACTTCGTTGAGCCATCATTCGTGGCCAGGTCGCTTCTGAAAAGAGCTACATTGCTCAGTGGGCCTCACCCGGCAAGAGAAAGAGTTCGAGACTCGGGTCGCAGGGGCAATGTGCGGCCTCCATGTGATCTGCAGGGGCCAGTGCAGCAACCAACCATTGTACTCTACAGTCGTATGGTTTACCACCAGCCCGTACTGTCCGGCGGTGGGTTGAGTATGGCGACCCCCCCCCCTTTCCCCAACAGTGGAGTGACCCATGGACTGGCGCGTGTGTATTACAATCTCCGCGGGGAGAGCGACTGCCTCTGCACGCCGTCTGTAAAAGCGGACCCGAGGTTAACCAGGCGCCGGGCTGGCTACTCCATCTGCGCTCGAACTTTGGCTTTCAGCTGCTAGCCATCACCGCATTTGCGGTCGTCTGGAACGCTCGTCCGATATTAGGACGCCACTATATTGAAAAAACTCATTTATTTTAGAGCTTGTGTTTAGTTTGTACTTCCGCACCCACGATTAGCACGGTCGGCTAACCTACGGTGCGAAATAAGTTTAACAAACAGTACTAACGAACGTTAAGCTATGAATCAACCCGACACTACAGCGCCCTCTGGTGACCATACCCACCTCGCTCGAGTCACAACGCGACTGGGAGAAACAACATCGCTAGGGTGGTCAGACGCGACACGAGCTGCTTTATAGCTGATCGCCTTGTATGCAGAAGCACATGGGTTCGATCCCGACCCTGGCGCCTGTACATTTGGAATCGATCTCTCTCCGTGGCCGTGTGGAATTTTTCTCCTGGTCCTCTTCACATTTAGAAACATGCCTTTAGACGGCCTTGGAGTATTTGGACACTGCTAGACACATCTACGCAAGCCACTACGTTGCACTGTGGCCAAGTCGCTTTTGAAAACAAGCGATATAGCCCAGTGGACCTTACCTGGTAAAATAAAAAGTTGTGCTTAAATGAAGAGCTCTTTTGGGCAATGGTCCTCACGACAGGGTTGGCGCATTCAACCGCTCTGGCCCACCACTGCCAAAGCAGCAGCGTCAAAATGTGTACCAATGACTAGAAGAGTCCAAAAATTGATGCGAACCAAAATAAACTTAAATTAGTAATTGCGTCAAAAGGAAGCAATCCATGCCAGTTATAAACAGGCGTGCATTGTACGTGTGCAACATTGAATTGATTGGACAACAGGAAGTGACCAACTTTTGATTACAAGATTTGACCGACAGCTTTCAAGTAAAACCGTTGAAAAAAAGCGCCTAATTTCTGCTCAGCCGGGATTACGCAGCAACATCGCCACCCCCGCTGCAAAGCGTGGCAGGACACCTTCGTGAAGTCAACTATGCGAGGTTTTCCTGCGAGCACAAGCATAATTAAAGGCCAGCCACACGAGCCGTCCTGACATGGGAACCTTGTTCAGGTCAGCATCACCACGAACACTTGGTTCACTCCCCAGTCGCTTGTGGGATGAAGGCTCCGATTTGGAAAACCTCCCTATAAAACACCCCCCCCACCCTTCCTACGAAATCTGTATCTGGAGTTCTACGTCCTTTACTTTCCCTTGGGTGGGGGTCCCGCGTCCCCTGCGTAACCCCTACACCCCCCCCCCTCCAATAACAAAGCGAATGTACCGGTAAACAACCCGGAGTCGACAACGTTGGGTGTGGCCACCAGATCCTTGCATTCGAGCAGGAAACAGCCAGTGCAGAGGGAGCCGCAACGACAGATGCGTGCAGGAGCTAGAGGCAATTAGGGCTGCAGAATATTCTAGATCGCCGGACCTGCCTTGGGTCAGTTGGATGCAGTAGATAGGCTGCATAAAACCAGGCCACGGGTAGGAAATATCCCCCCCCCCCATTTGCAGAGTAGCTGCTGTACCCCGTACCAAAAAAACTCGGCTATAAACCTTAAAATCGCCCAACCACACCCCTCAATGCTGTCATCATGCCCTCTAACGCTACAGTTCTCCAGGCAGTTTGAAGACATTTTGGAAACACCATTGGTAAAAATCGACTAAAAAGGTCCGACACCTCATTGACTAGGCAGGCATGTAGTGGCACAGCAGTTGGCATGGGCCCTGGTACAAGGAATTTATCAATTGTGCCCTGGCAAATTTCGTGCTCCTTCTGCAGCACCATCTGGCAAATTGCACTCCCTCTAGCCCTCCCTCCCCTCCACGCAGACACTTCCCAGGAAGCATTCCAACATTGGACGTTCACTTGGTCTATAGCACGAGACACCATACAGCTTTCCATCGAAAAAAAAAGCGATAATGAAAAAGGGCCCCATTCGGTAAAAAGTAGCAGTCAAAAAACTTTATTTAATAAATTGTCTAGGTTCTAGCTTTGGAGGGGTTACGGAGGCACTGGAAGCAGACGGTGAACTTGAGTACGAGGCCCAGGACCAGGACGACGAGGACGGCCAGAGCGGTGCCCCATAGCACCCGGCTGTTCACGGTGGCCCCTGCACACGGAGGAGACAGCCATCGACGGCACCACCACAGGAACCGCTGGACCAGGCCTCACGCCCTGGGGGTGTGGGACTCACCACTGGTCAGTGCGAGCTGGTGTGGAACAGACATCGAGGGCGTGGTATATGCAGTGCAATTTGTCCTAGTGTCCTCTGCTGTTCACAATGTAGTTACAGCCTATAACCCCTGTTATGCATAGCAGTCATCCACCCAAATCACCAAGCAAGCTTCAGACCAAAAAGCAGATGGTTTGGTTTGTCCAATTATTAAATGGTGGCGGTGGGTTGTCAAGTGACAGGCAGAGAGGCCATCCACAATAGGAGCGTGGTTTTTAGGATGAGGTAAGGCTTAGGGAGCTAAAAATATTCAGAAGCAACCTGGCTACAAATTATTGTTCAACGAGGTGGCTTACAATAAGGCAAGCTAGTGAATATCCTCACCACCTGTGGCAGGATGGCCACAGCCAAGGAGAGCACAGTAGTGCAACCAGCAGGGGTTGGGCATTCAGGAACACCGCACGAATTTAGCTCTAAAAATTGTGGAAGTGTCACCAAGTTAGCATCTATAATGGAGCCAACTCTGGAGAAAATGAAGAAACTGGGTGTACAAAAGTATCAGAAAATTTAAGACGAACGACCACCTAAGCCAGCGTCAGTTTCTTGTGACTAAATAGTAAAGAAAACTCACGGCCGGAGGTCTCAGCGTCGAAGTGGAAAGGGCCACGGCTGACGATGTAGATTGGTGTTTCCACTACAGCCAGGGGGCTGCGCTTGGTTCTTGGAAGCAGACATCCCTGGTAGCACCTGGAGCCGATTGCAGAGCTCTTGCAGGCCACGACGGCACAGTGGATGTACACCTGGAGCAGAACAGAGCTCACACTGCTTGCAAGGAAGTTTGGAGCACGGGGTGAGGTATGGAAAAAAACAGTCGCCGAGAAGTAGCTTGGCCGTCCAGGGTTTCCTTGCAATATTTAGAAAGCTACATTTGGAAAAACGGTTATTTCGAACCACTTTTTGGGTTTGGTTAGTCTTTCCCCTGCACCTCCAATTTAGCAGTTGGCTACATGAAATGGTAGGCAAGGTCATACAAGCTACAAAATGAATAACGTGCAACGTAGTGGCGTTGTTCATAGGCTCGATGCAGAAGCTGCCAAGCAGGAGGGCCACTAGCAGCAAATTCCACCCCTCACCAGCACTGCTGCCCATAGCCATTGCAGGTGCTAGTGGGTAACAGGACCTAATTTATCAATTGTTAGGGCCCTCCAACAGGTGCCATGGCAGGAGCACAGCAGAATATTCCACAAGCCAACGCTCCATGGTTTAGCTGCCACCCCGGATTGTGTTCATGTGCCACGAGTTGGTCACGGTATGCAAGTGTTAGACAACTACACTAAGCAAAAATGAACTAAAACTGCTCCCACCTCTTAATGCAGTTGTCGAGCACAGGCCTAAAGTTCAAAACGGTGGTGGTTGATTAGTGCTGAGGAGACCAAAAATAGGCAGTCTTGTAGAGGTTAGCTCCACACTGTGGAGAAGACGAGTGAAGCTCATGGGGACAGCGATGATATGACGGCGAGAGATCGGTTCAGACGAGGCGAGCGAAGCGCGGCTCACGTTGGGACGAGCGGTCGCGGTGAAGGTGAACATCCTGAAGTGGAAGCGGCGCTTCGTGTCCACAGAGGTGAGGTTCGTCATGTTTGCTAAGAGACACCTGCCAAAACAACCACACGAGGCACACCGTCACCCCTATCACACCACAACTAGGGGATTTCACCTCACCCCCCTGGGTGTAGCAGCAGAAAATGGAGCAACCCCCCACAGGACAGCAGGTCGACTGGGGGGCCCCCATCGTCTTGATTGCATGGAGGGGGTGTGGTGGTAGGGCACCATACCCCTCCTGGATGAGGTAGTATTTGTCGGGGTGCTGGGGGCTGCTGTCAGGGGTGGCGTAGCAGTCCACCGTGAAGATGGTGACGTTCAGGGTACTCTTCACAGACACCTGCAGGTACATCGCAGCTCCGAGGCTCACAAGCAGCGGGTACTGGCTTGGCAAGAAGGGAGTCTCAAACCCAGAATCCGTGAAAAAATCCATGCGCAAATCCAGGAGTGAGAACACGGTTTGGTTGAACACCAGGGATAGTGCTGTCGGCTCGAGAGGCCCCTGACTCAGCAGCTTCGTCCGTGGAACCTTGCAGCTGTAAGATAATCGGAGGGAAAAAAAAATCAAGGGGCTGGAATGTGTAAAAGGGGAGTTGCAGACAGTCCGCAGAAAGTCTTTGGGGGGGGGGGGGGGGGGGGGGGGGGGGGGGGGGGGGGGGGGGGGGTCAGTTCCTGCTGAAACGAGCATTTGTGCACATCTCCGCTGCAAGTTCCACATTTATAATGGGGGGGGGGGGGGGGGGGGCGGCCACAAATTGGTGCTCATTTTGAGACCAAACAAATGGGGCCACAAAACCAACCACTTGCTTGTCCTAGAGCATAAACACCCTCCAAAGAGTTTCATTAAAAAGTTACCAGACTGCAGCCGTGTCTACCAGGCGTTAAAGCTCAACTGTTGACCACGGTGCAAGCGATTAGCCTCATTCGTAAAAAAACCAGGTAATACACTTTAAGGGAAGTCTTGTTAACCATGGGCTGTGCAGTGACACTTGCATTTCAACAAGGGTATGGGGGGGGGGGGGGGGGGGGGGGGGTTCAAGCCAGACCCCTGGTACCTTTCATAAGTTTTGGTTCTGCAAATTTCCGTCCATAGCTAACAATAGATTGGTAATGGGCCAAATAGAACCAGCCCAGACTCGAGATGTACCTGGGTGACCATGCATGACGTGCCATCTCGTGGAGCACCAGGGAGGCTCCGAGCAGGAAGTAAAGTGTACCAAGGTCCACATCAACCAGTGACCAAGCCTTTAAAACTAAGCTTCAGGGCACAATTCTCTTAACTTTCACACAAGACCAAGGACCGCATCTCCCCCAGTCGTTTGTGAAAGAGCAACACCTCGGGTGGGCCCTTAGCTAGGTGAAAGTTTTAAAAGCCGTTAGTTTAAGAACAAATATCTCCAACGTACGTGCAGTTGACGAGGACGTACTGGTAGTCGTAGGTCACGATGTAGCTCGTGCTGCTGGCCAGAGACACCATCTGTGTGAACACCAAGTCAGTGGCCGTCTCCTGTAGAGACAGGCCACACGGAAACCATTAAACAAAACCGCCAAGCGTCTAACTAGACACATTGTTACATGCACTGCACTCAGCCCATGTTTTGCAGAGAAAGTGATCGTGTGATAGCAAAGGGTGCATTTGCGAACACGGGCAGCACTTTTGGGCAATCTACTGCTGGACGAGGGCCTCCCTACACCACTCAATGGGGGAGTACAAGGATTATGCGTCACCACAACGGTCTTTGAAGCTCAAGGTGGAGTTGGTATCAGGTAGAGGGCATATTTATGGATTTTAATGCCCCCTGCCGACTATGAAACCCGGCAGAGCAGACACCATTTATTGCCATCACAGCACAGTTGAGTGCGGGAGACTCACTCAGAGGACAAACCCGAGAAGCCACGAACTGGGGATCCAAGGGTCGGACAACGCCAAGGGCAGGCGAACATGGATGAGGCTAGACGCGTCGGCAAATGGAAGCATTAACATAAACTTAATTTCATTCTTTGGTTCTTTTGGTAAAGTCACGTAGAAATAAATTAAATAGAATACGACGGTTCATTTGTATCTGATGGTTGCTTGTTGCAATTGAAACGTATTTTATTATTAGAATGTATATATTTTTACAGGACTTTACCGAGAGAGAACCAGAATAATTCCTGCAGTCACGAAAGCTTCGAATCTAGCGTAATATCAGTTCATGGTCTCCACGAGTGGAGCATGGCTACACCACGAGGACTTAAAATCGGAAGTTCCCTACAAATCCTGTGTGCATGCACGTGACCAGACTTTTACAACTGCCACTGGGCATGATTATGGAGGGGGCATCGTACTCTTGGGAGATCCTGGAGTGCAGTGGGGCCTACCCATCACTGGCCACTATGCAGAGCTAGGTCAGAGGGTTGCAAAGACCCAAAAAGGTGACCGTGTTGTTTGCCAACCTCAAAAACTGTGCCACAGTCACCGAAAGAGATGTTAAAGGTGACAAACTGCTGCTCGTCTCTCAGGTCACAGCCTGTGGCCTGCGTGTTGAGCTTGAGAGAGGATGCGTTGTATCCAAAAATGGCTCCTTGAGGGATCTTGACGATCATGTGCTCGTTCACGCAGCTCACATTGAAGTCATCTGCACGAGGCAAAAACCAGAACAAGTTCAAAACTCATCAGGTAGTCGATGAGCAGCACCACAAGCCACGCGTGCAGCACAAGTGGACTGGTATGATCAAAGTGAAAGTCTCTAGGGAGTTGCAGGCCAAGCACCACAAAACCAACTTACGGTGGAGACGCTGTATTTTGCTAACGCTGACAATATTAAGTCTAAAAAACTTCCAGTGAGATGCAAAACTCTGGTGGTCAAGTGCAAGGGCTGGAAAAAGTGGTATTGATCCTTTATGCAAAAAGCGATTTCTAGAGCCGGCAAGAGGCTTGATTGTGTTCAGCAGGACCGGGTCTCCCATACGGCCATCACGTTGCAAGGGTGGCATCGCCATTAAGCACGCAGGTGGTACAACTGCTCTGGGCCCACAAGCCATCTGGACTACCCTGCACAGCGCACCTAGGAATCCCCTCCCACCATCTCCCACCGCGGTGGGGACCGGCAGGATCCAGTCGCAGGCATCGTGCGCAGCCGAGTCGAGCCGTCGGCCAGGAGTGGTGAACACGTCCTGTACCACGCCCGGGTCCAGCTGCAGGCAGCAGCGCGCGCTCAGGGCACCCGCGGGAATGCCAAACGTCAGTATGTTACCGGGGTGCTTTTTCACCAGCCTCTGGTCGGCAGCGTTTATCTTATAAACCAGAGCACCATCCTCGACCAGGTGGAAGCGAATGTACGCCGTGGGCAGGGCCGGGACAAACTGGAAATGGCAAAGGGAAAAAGTGTGGTTAGGTAAGAACGATCCACACACCATGGGAATCGGCACAATGGTAATGTACAGTGCAAAAGGTTAATATTACAAACGCATTTCGAGCAATAGAGGAGCACAGTACGAGGAAGACGTGGCACAGCCAACATCCTGGCGTCTTATCCAGACAATTACAAAAATTAGGTTCAAGTACTGGACAGTTGGCAAATAAAGTTCCATCTACAGTGGTGTCGTGACTAACCGTTTATCTCATCATTAATGAATAATCTTCATCTGGGGTGCTGTGGTGGTGAGATGTTAACTCCCTCACCTGGTACAGGTGGGTTCAACCCAAACCTTAAATATTTGCATTTCTGCATCTCCCTTCATGTATTTCTGGTTTTTCACATTTAAAATATTGGCTGCTATTAAATCAAGCCATTTCGTTACACTCATTTGTGGCCAGGTAGCTTCCAAAAGCTGTATAGCTCAGTGGGCCTTACCTGGTAACAATCATTTTCTCTTATGGGCCATCTGGCCTGCAATTGGACAATTTTGACAAGCCAATGGATGCATGGATTATACATTATGGTCTCAATTGAAACTTCAGTTACATTAACAGCACAGCAGGAACCAGTACCACCTGCTGATTGAAGAAAATGGTGAAGTCCATTGCCCCACTCTTCTGAATGTTAACGCTGAATCGTAGGGCCATAAGCGTCGTTGGCACCGGGGTAACTTTTATGGCGGCTCGCAGCCTCTGCAGAGGATCGGGGACGCCTGTGGGTTACGAAGAGCCGCGTTAGATTTTAGCATTGGAGGCACAGCATCAGCCGCTAGTAGTCACCAGAGAGGTATAAACCCCCACAAATCAAGGGACGTTTCAAGCCACCGAACTTTACACCCATTACAAAAAGCAAATGTATAAGTTCTGCCTGCCACATAGTTTTTGTAAAATCTAAGTCAAGTAAATTTGGTAAACTTGTTAAATCACACGTATTAAAGTACGTTTGTAGATTGCCCTCTTTAGTATAATTCATTGAGTCCTGGTCTTACAGACTGCAAAGTTACCACCTAAGGGTTGATAACTACTTTCTGGTAATTGGTGGAGTTGCTATTTTGTGAAATCGCCACCAGGGGGAGGGAGACGACTCCCCCTGGTGGCGATTTCACAAATTAGAACACCCCCCCCTCCTTCTAAAAACAGCAAGCTGGCAGGTCCTGCCAACCCCTACCATAGATTTGGCACTTTCACATGCCACGAATTACCAGACATTAGTTATCACCCAAGTGGTAACTTTGCAGTCAGTAAGACCAGGACTCGCAGATTCAATCTAACAGCGGAGATAGGCGCAGACTTAAAATTTACTATTCCAGTCGAGTAGAACCAAAGGGAGGTGTGAACACAGGAGGGAGCATGTGCATTAAACAGCACCACAATAACCTGGAGGGCAGAGTCATGCAGCTACACACCTACAGGGCCACTTGGCACAACAATGGTGATGCAGCGCAGCTCACCCTGCCATCTGGAAATACATGGATGTGCATCAGAATGTGAAACGGTTAATAATGCCAACCAATTACTCAGGGCAAGTACAGAGCCTAGGGAGTCAAACCACGAATTAAAACCACGTCCCGCAGGGGCACATTCACCCCTTCAAGGTCAGCACATAGAAGCACGTCCACCAGCGAGCCCCCGCGTCGGTGGCAGACGGAGTCCAGAGCAGCAAGGTCCGGTGGACATGCGCGTTCTCTGGCGCCCTCTCCATAATACCGACAGGGACACCCTTGCCAGACAGCACCACGACCTCTAACGAGATCACCCTGGAAAGAAAATGGAAACCAGCAGAGGCATTAGAAACCAGGACATGATCAGAGCAGCACCAGCCTTTTAATAGCAGTATGCTGCAAGGATGCTAAGATTTCTGCAGATTAGTGGGTTTCAGACATAAAAAGTGTAGTATTGCATCCTCTAGCCTGCATCGATGGCTCCGTTGTTAAAATGCATTTGCAGGTTTAAAAAATAAAACGAACCGGCGCAGATCAGAGTGAGGCATGGCACGCGGCAACGTAGTAGAGACCGCACAAACCACTCACGTTTCGAGGTCGCTTGAAGCTCTGGCCGTCACGGCAATGGGAATTTGAAGGCGAACTCCGACGTGGGCATTCACCACGGCACCCTGGCTCGGCGTGGGGTCGACAAACACGAGGCTGATACAGGCGTCGGATGCTGCAACTGAAGGTGGTGACAGAACGATTAAAACTAAAAAACACAACACGGTCTGCCAGGCTCTACCTGTCACTCATGAGAATGGACTGAAACAGGCCTGGACTTCAGTAACTTCATCATAATTCACAAAGGTGCAACGTTGGAAAGATCTTAACCATCTCCTGGTATACAGGCGGTCGCGGGTTCGATCCCAACTAAACGCCTGTAAATTTGGTGTGCAGGTTCTCCCAGTGGTCGCATGCACCATGGGCATTTGCGATAGCTAGGTCACTTCTGAAAGAGCTACATAGCTCAGAGCCTTGCCTGATAAAATAAGTTACATTACAGTCACTGGAGAGCGACCTATTAGAATGGGTAAACGAGCAGCATGCAAAATCACCGTTCATGGCAATGATTAAATTCCATTATGGACGCTACAGAAAAAAAGATTAAATCAGTTTCACACATTTTGTCATGGGATCAGGAAAAGGCAACGTTGGGTACGCTCACCACATTATGACCATGCCCCTGCTACCCACTCGAGCTCAAACGATGCATCCTCACCCAAGACAGAGAACTGCAGCGTCACCGACGACAAGCAGTCCACCGGCGTCCTGCAGGTGCCCTTTGTCTCGATGACCGAAGTCGGGAAGTCCTCTACGACCACCATGACACCAAACTGCTTTGGGAGTTGGTCGGTCACCTGTCCAAAAAACTCAAACTCGCAGCGGTCCTGGCAAAGCAAAAAAAGGAGCAGCGTTCAGCATTGAAGTAAATTGTTACATCCAATACACGTTATTAAAAACTTGTACGAGGAGAACTCGGTACCAAAAAGCTGGCCAAGCTGCAATTAAAAAAAAACATTGTATAGCCCTGCCAGTGCCACAGGAAAAAAACGACACTTTGAAAATGTTTAAGCTCATCAACAACTAATGCATCATTTGGTGCCACGAGACAATGGTGATGTTTTGGGACAATTGGCACACACTGCTACTCTTCATCGTAACTTGGTGGGAGTCTGCCAAAAGTCCACCCCCAGACTAATCAATGCTTGGCCCAAAGAGGCTAGATATCCCACACTCGACGCACTTGCACTACCGGTTGTAGCAAGGTGATAACCATAACGTACCTCCCAGAGGCGGGCATTGGGGAACGTGCCACAGATGCCACCATAGCACTCGGGCCCTCTGGCATAGCGGCACCTCACACTGTCTCCGTCGGGGTCCGAAACTTGGATCTTGACGTTCGTCTGGCACTGGTTACTCACTCTGCGTGACGAGCAGACGCACCTCGGGTTCAAACATCTGCCTCGGCCAATGCAAAGGCCTGTTGATGCGACACCTTCAAATATGGATCAAGTTGCAACAGAAGACTCAGCCCAGGGAACGCGGCGTGCCGACAGCCCCGCCCACTCAGTCCCACCCACAGGGCGTGGCCTGTTTGTTAGCCCCACCCCGGTAGCCCCCCCCCCCCCGCCAACAGAGGAATACGAGGCCCAGGCAAAAATCCAGTTTTTTTTTTAGACGGACCTCGGAAAGTAGGAGTCCTGGCCAAACCAATAGTCCACTGCAAGATGCACATTACGGTACCAGTTTAACCCACTATCAAGCACGATTGCTACTTAAAAACGAAATTAAAACCATTTTACTTTACCAGGCAAGGCTTAGAGCTATCTAGCTTCAGAAGTGACCTGGCCACAAATGATAGTCCCAAGTGGCGCATTACCCATGTGGGAAATTCTAGCAGCCAAACTAAACGCGTGATGTGGAGGACCTAGAAAAAAATCCACGCGACCACGGGGAGGACACGCAAACTCGAAATATATAGCAGGCGTCAAGGGTCGGGATTGAACCCATCTACAGTACCTGACGAGGTGCGCGATGCTGGCCCTCGGCGAGCTGTTAGGCTGGCCCGTGTCGTTTCGGGTCCTTAGGTCCACAAAGGTAGACAAGACAAAATCGGCATTTCTCTGCACCGTCACAAAGCCAGACTCAACGAAGTCTTCGCTGTTCCAACAGCAAGACCTCTGCCTGGAGACGAAGGCAAACAGTTAGGCGTCCACAGACTGCGGTGGAGTGCAGCGGGCCATGGATATAGCTGCTCAGTGGCCGATTCGAAGCACCTTCAGATATTCAAGTCTTTATTGCAAGAAACATTTTCTATTTCAGACCAATTGTGCGATTATATTTTAGCAATGATGTATGCATGTTTCACTTATTTTCGCACAGTACACAGCCAACCATCGCAGTGGTGGCGGTTCACGTCCGAAATGCAGCATGGGTATGTGGATCACATCGTGAAATTCACTAGCCCCGGCTGTCGAGGTGACGAGGCAGGGTACTGCGGCAGTGCAAAACAGCAAGTGCAGTAATCGCCATATGTACGGGGATAGAGTTTTGTTCCCTCACTTTGCACACGTAGGCTTTAGCCGTGTGCTCCAGTTTCCTCCTCCGTGTGTAATAACTCCATTTGCTGAAAACACATCTTAGTTTGAAACCAAACGCAGGATATTCTTTGAGTTGTCGGTAAAGTCAGGTAGATTAAAAAGAAAATTAAAAAAATAACACTGAAAAGTGAAGCCAATCAGAAAGAGCACTGGGCAGTGCTTGGACGATTAAACGCAATGCATAACATATGTTATGGGCTGCGAGTCTACATGGCAGGCAGCAGAGCTGTGCAGAACAATGCGTTACCATCTACCACTCAACGGCGATCCTCCCCGCCTTCAACGCCTCCCCCCCCCCCCACGGTACGCACGGCGTATGGACGCCCTCATCCAGCAGGGGAGCGGCGTGCATCTACGGCTGCTACAAACGCGAATTCGGCTTCGATGCCGTCAGCCGGCCGAGTGACCGTTGGGAGCGAAGCGGCGCTTTGTTTCGCCCCCAAGGGAGGAAAGTAAACCTCCCATGGCCTCTTCAATTGCCCCCCCCCCCCCTAAACAAACTCTGCCACACCTTAAAAAGAGTTAATTGTGGGACGTCGTCCCTCTGCATTCCCTTGCAAGCAGCGGATGTCTGACCGAGAATCCTCACAAACAAGCGATACGGGCTCCGACAACCGCCATTCGCCACCAAGGTGGCGGCGACTTCACCACGGCGCTTGTGCCAGGCTAGGTGCACGGAGACCACGTGAAGTGTCGAACGCCCGCCGGCAGGAGGTCACGGGGCAGACCCAGCAGGTGCCATGCGTCGACTGACCGAGATGACTGTCGACACGCCACCTGTGCCCCCTACTACGCATAGTTGATCACGCAACGCACTGCGAGGGTCACCGTTGGCCAGCGTGGTTGGCATGGGCCCTGGTGCAAGAAGTTGGGGAGCCCCCCAGCCCTCTGTACCCCGGCACCTGGGCCCCTGCTGCGGTCCATGGGTCAGGAACGCAGTTGCCATGGCTACACCAGGGCTCGGTAATCAAAACACGTGGAGAAACTCTCCAAGTTCAGTAGAGAACAAATCGACATTGCAAGGCGCTGCAGTGTACGCAAATACGAGACAGTCCTTGCTAAACAACGGTCACCAAGCAGTCGTTACAACGCCGGTGGGATGCCGACCCCTTGGGCTACACGTTACATGTGCACAACCCCGCCACTGGCCGAGTCGCCGTCCATTCCCAGGTGAAAGGAACTCCTCTGCCGCCGCTCACATCACGTCGGTCACAGAGTCCCTCTGGATCTGCAGGGAGAACGCGGCTTCCAGAATGGCGAGCGTGCCCCAGGAGGAGGCGGCGTAGGAGGGGGTACCGCTGCCGCACGAGAACGCCACCGCGAAGTGTCTTTTGGGGCATCCGTTGGAGCAGGTCCACGTCTGGGTCAAGTCGCATCGAGAGCCGTTCAGAGACACCGACGAGACGAAGTTCACCTACAGCGCGGGGGGCCGAGAGGGAGACCAGGTACAAGCACCAAAAGACAGATCCATACCAGCCCTTACAGCCTTCACAGAATGCAGGGGACAGTGCCGTTAGCGAGTACCTACAATGAAAAAAGGCCGGCATACCACACCAGGGTGAGTGGCCAACACCACGCCCGGCCGCCTTTGCCTCCCGAGTGGCGATGTTTACACACCGCACCAAGTACTTCATTTCGGAGGCCTTGTTGACTGAGGAGGCCTCGGATCGTTTCAAACATTCGTTACTGTTATTGGTCGTGAGCGGTAATTGACCTTTGGGGTCGCCATCGCAGCACGGCGCTAACCGCTGCGCCACCGCTCCCTCCACAAGCATCATCACCACCAGCAGCGCGCAGACTGCAAACACTGGCGACTGTGTGGAGGAGGGAAAAAAAAGATGACCAACCCAACGGTCGACTCTCTTCTTCACGTTATCAGATAAGGTCCACAGGAGGTGGTAGTTAGCTCCTTTCAAAAAATCCCCAGGCCATCGCTCACCGTGACGGCCTCGGGGTCGGCACTCGGCGCCACCTCCCAGCGCAGAGCCCCGCCGTGGTAGCGCACGGCGCCGCAGGGACGCGGGGCGCCCTGCAGGTGGAGCAGGAGGAGCAGGAGGGCCGCGAGCCACGACCAGACGCGAGCCTCCATCACTGCCGAGGCGGCGGGGATGGTGTGTGTAAGCAACAAGGGCGATACAAGGAGCCAGATGAGAGAGGCGCCCGCTCTTATGCTACCTCGCCTCCCCGCACCTGCGTCCTCTATTCACCGGCTCATTAAGCTCCCATTGGCTGCTCCCTCATGCTTTTCCCATTGCAGCCGGTTAGACGTTTTACCGGCACGCCCGATGGGATAATGGGGCCGTGATTATTGATGACCATTCTATTGTATTATTGGGTACGCTGGCAGCTCGTGTGGTGTTCAGATGAATGCCGATATCGGAGTCTCCTGCTCGCTACGACGAGAGGCCTTCAGCAGAGAGAGAGAGCTCGTGTCGTATTGTTATTCCTCCTTCTCCTCCGTTGAGGAAGCGCAGACCAAAGTGGGTTTACGATATGGTCCACAGTTTGCGTTGAATGGCTACGACTGGATTGTCTTCAATGTATCTCTTTGGGTCTCTATGTATCTCCGTGGGTTTCTATGTATCTCTGTGGGTCTCTATGTATCTGTTTGGGTCTCTATGTATCTCTGTGGGTCTCTATGTATCTCTGTGGGTCTTTATGTATATATGTGGGTCTCTATGTATCTCTTTGGGTCTCTATGTATCTCTATGGGTCTATATGTATCTCTGTGGGTGTATATGTATCTCTGTGGGTCTATATGTATCTCTGTGGGTCTCTATGTATCGCTGTGGGTCTCTGTATATCTGTGGGTCTCTTTGTGTCTCTGTGGGTCTCTATGTATCTCTGTGGTTCTTTATCTCTATGGGTCTCTATGTATCTCCATGGGTGTCTACGTTCTCAATAGATTGCCTACGCATCTCGATGGATCTCTCTGTATCTCTGTGGGTCTCTATGTATTATAGTTTCCAATATGTAGACGGTTCCATCCTTTGGGTTGCGTGGCCACTGTCGCACTGTCACTTGCCCACGACGAAGGAGACGCGCGCATCGACCCTGTTGACGTCCCGATGCGGTTGGTGGTGGTTCACGCTTCCGGTGGTGTCTTCGAGGAAGGAGGAGGAATGTGAGTGGCAGGAGGACTGTACGACGTTTGGGTCTCGAGCGAGGCGTTTATTCTGCGTTGTTCCACACAGATCTCCGGAATAACCACACCTCATCGACGACGACGATGGTTATTGATGATGACAGGCAAATTGCTCTTGAAGATGCACGCGTTGAGGGCCGATTACTAAACGGGTGTGGTTTGATACCCGCCCGCATTCAATTGTATCTCTAAACCGTAAATATTTAATTTGTTATCCATAGTAGAGTTTTTTTTAGCTAGATTGCGCAATTAGAAATGTGTCGTGAACCCGCCACAACCCGACCTAATTGGCACGTTTGTTCACGTGACAATCCTTACTAATTGGTCGTGGTGACAGGTTAACGACACATTTATATTTACGCAATTTAAATGTTAAAAACCTGTGTTATGGAAAACAAGTTAAATATTTACGGTTTAGAGCGACAATTGAACGTAGGTGCGTATCCCACCAGACTTAAAAAAAAACCCTTGCTTATTATTTAATTTGTTGAAGGTTTTTTTCTTCTTCTAATAAACCCATGGGTACGCAAACGCCGCGCCACGTGACTCCGCACGCACGCAGAGGGGCAACAGCGGCCTCGCCTCGACCATTGACGCCACTCATGCCCCACCACGCCGTGTCACTGAGTTCAAGTCGGTTCACTCATTCTGACGATCATCAGCCACGCTGCTCAGGCCCACTGCTCGTATATGCCACGACCCCCCCTCCCTCCATGCCTTTGTCAAGCCATACGGTCCCTAGCGATGCCAGAAACCCCATCACTCCTGCGCGTTCAATTGATGGTCATCGCTCTCCACATTTGCGGCGGTCGTTCTGCGCAGAGTTTCCCCCCCCCCCCCCCTTCTTATCGCCAGTCTCGTTCACGTGCTGAGTGCACTACGTACAAACTCAGAGATCGCACCGATACGCTCATCACGACGATGATGATCTATGATAATGATCATGATAATAGATAAGAATCAGAAATGTATTTTCCGAGTGAAGCCCATTGAGCTAACAAGCTATATACAAGGGCGACAACATCAAAGCATTCCACAATGACAGATTTTTGCATGCAATTATTTTGTAAAATTACATTCGCACTTTCATTTTAGTGGTTTTAAATGTCAGATGATGATGTATTCTTGGGTCTTTCGGTAAAGTCACGTCGATAGGTTCAAAGAAAATAATAAATAATAATAAAACTACGACGTTTCGATCGCAACACAAGCAGTCGTCTTCAGGAAAAGGGAGGTTAGCTTCCAAGGCAAACTGTTTATAAGGGGTTTGAAATGGGCGTAGCCCAAATGTCAGCAGCCAATGAAAATGTAAGTGGTGGGCAGCCAACCCGACGGTGGCGTATGTGGAAATAAAATATGAATAAATAAAATAAAATTAGATTAAAATAAATCACGACGTTTCGAACGCAACACAAGCGCTCATCATCAGGTGGAATTGGGGTAAAACACATAGCAAGGGCACACACAGAGGGACATCACGCACATAGAGAACGCCAAACTGCACGGAGGCAAATACAGCAGGAAGATGGGAGACGTGTACTTAAAAAAATGAGTATAGCAATTTCTGCAGTCACGAAAGCTTCAATTCTAGATTAACCCGATGGTGGTTGGTTTTCCACTAATCAAAGGGTTGCCAAGTGAAAATTAGCATGTTAAAGAGAGATTAGCATTTTAATGGAAGATCGCAGAGCTGCAACCAAGGGGTCGGCGCGCAAAGTGACTGTGCTCGTGTGAACCCTGTGAAAGTGCAAGTTTGAAATGGGCGTAAAGCACAACTAACATCGGAAGGTGGTAGGATGAAACATCATTGCCAATTATGACTTAAACTGGTTGATAACGTCCTTCCGATGAGTGCTCAGTTTGTACCCATCTTCTCGGTTGAAATTGTGTCTGTGTCTATATGTAGATGGCTTCATGAACGAATCTTTGTTGATAGCCAGTGGGTTTGCAAGTACCTTTGTCTTAGAGAAATCAATTTCGTGTGAGCCCACCGCATTAAAACAATGATCAGCCACGGTCAAGGTGTTGGTCCTACCGTTTTTCAGTTCTGCGTTATGTTCACGAACACGGTCCGAGACATGTCACTTAGTTTCCCCAATGTAACTACTGCCGCAGACACAGCTTAGTTTATAGACTCCGGGGTATTGCATGTGAGGGATCACATCTTTCACAGATGGGATCAGATCACGAATTTGATGTACTGTGTTAAATCGAACCTGGATCTTGTGTTTGCTCATGATTTTGGAAATGCCTGGAAGCTAATCCCCCTTTTCCGGAAGACGACCGCTTGTGTTGCGATCGAAACTTCGTTGTTTTTGTTTGTTATTTTCTTTGAACCTATCTACGTGACTTTACCAAAAGACCTAAGAATATGAATTCCTGCAGTCACGAAAGCTTTAAGTCAGATGATGATGTTCATGATAAAAGATACTGATGGCACTCGTGACAATGGTACTGTCATGGTAAATTATGATGGTGATATTGATTAATGATGATATTCTTGTGTGTTGCACTGTGTGCAGGACCTAAATGCCACTGTCGAAGGCTGCTGCTAGCCATGAGAGGGCTTCAGGGAAGAGTTCGTGCAGTTATTAATTTCCCTCCACTACTGAAGATGTGCAGACTACAGTGGTGTACAATAAGGGCCATAGTTTGGGTTGGATGGCCACAGTTGAACTTTGTTTTTTGTTAAATTTTACATTCATGAAGGAGATGTGCGCATCGGCCTCTTGATGTTCTGATGCGGTTGATGATTCCACCGGTGGTGGGTGGGTGGGTGAATGAGTGGGTGAGTGAGTTGATGATTCCACCGGTGGTGAGTGGGTGGGTGAGTGCGTGGGTAAATGAGTTGATGGTTATACAAGTGGTGAGTGGGTGGGTAAGTGGGTGGGTGAATGGTTACACCAGTGTCTTCGAGGAGGAATGTCAAAGCCAGGAGGTGCGATGCTTGGGTCTCGAATGAGGTCTTTATCTACGTTGTTCCGCTCTGTTCGCCAGCGCTCTTCCGTGTCCGAGTGAGAGTGTAGGATGATGACAACAGCGAGATCCCAACCGGTGGACCGAGTCGACAGCCAGATGCATTGTTGAGGTCTCGGTTGATGGATAACGATGGTAGTAGAACAGTGGTTCTTAACCTGGGTTCGATCGAACCCCAGGGGTTCGGTGAGTCGATCTCAGGGGTTCGGCAGAGCCCCCGCCACGGAGGTCCGGACACACTTGAATTATTGTGTAAATTTGTGATGACACACACGGCCCGCTTGGCCATCACTGGCTGCAGATGATCATGCTACACTGCTTGGCCAATCAGCGCTGCGGGGAATTTAGTGCGTACTCAGTAGTCAACGTGTGACTGTTGTTGTCGTACGTCGTGTGATTTCTTTAATATTTTATCCATACTAACTATGTCGGGCAAAAGAAGAAAGTGGTCGGACGAATATGTACAACATGGATTCTCATGTATCACGGAACGTGATGGGAGTGAGCGTCCTATCTGCATGATTTGCAACGCCAAGTTGAGCAACTCTAGTCTTGCACCGGCAAAACTAAAGGAACACTTCTTGAAGCTGCATGGAGACGGGGAATACAAGAACACAACACTTGCTGAATTCAGGGTGAAGAGAGCCAGATTCGATGAAAGGGCCACTCTGCCTGCTCTTGGATTTGTACCTGTTAACAAACCGATCCTGACAGCATCGTACGAAGTTGCTTACCTGATCGCAAAGCAGGGCAAGCCACACACCATTGGTGAAACACTTGTGAAACCAGCTGCATTAAAGATGGCGAATCTGATACTCGGAACAGCGGCCGAAGGTAAATTATCCCAAATTCCCCTTTCAAATGACACCGTCAGTGACAGAATAGAAGACATGAGTAAAGACATCTTGGCTCAAGTAGTCGCGGATCTGATTTCAAGCCCGGCAAAATTCAGCCTTCAACTCGACGAAACCACAGACGTTTCTGATCTAAGCCAGCTTGCTGTTTTTGTACGCTATGTGAAAGACGACATGATAAAAGAAGAGTTTTTATTTTG